TCAGCCGGAGAGTTTAACAAATCAAGTAAAGTTGGTGTTAGCGAAAAAGACTTTGGTTAGCCGGGCTGCGCGTCGTTCGGTGTTGTATCCCAGTAAACCATATCCGATGTTCAATGAGGGCGACCTGGTCCTTCTACGTTCAAACGCCATTTCATCAAAATTAAAAGGAGAAACAAAGAAGTTTTTACTTCTTTTCGAAGGTCCATTCAAGATCAAAAAGAAAATAAGTTTTGCTACCTTCATTTTAACAACCTTGGATGGCAAAAAGGAAAGGGGTTCTTTTCATGCTAGTTTATTAAGACGGTATGTCAGCGAAGGCGGAACTTCTTCCTGAATGTTAATCATAAATACTAGTTTAGAGGGGATCAATCACATTATTGTTGTTCTGGGTTTTGATAGGTTTCCTAAGTTTTGTTTGCAAAACCTTACGTAAACCTAAGGGGGGCAGATGTAGCAAAATGTTTAGCATCCATCATGACGTACCTGGGTACTCAGGTTTCCCCGTTTTGACCGCAATTTAACCTGATATCAGTAAAATTGCAGTGTGCGTTTTTACTAGCAATGTTGGGATTCTGTGCACTTAAACGGGTTGTCGAATAGAGGACGCTACCCGACACTTTTACCAAATTTAAAATTACCTTTTGCCATTTGTTTACAAAAACGCATTCTTGTGGTTTTTTGGATGATTTTTTCAAGATCGGCAAACGCCTGAAACCTGGTGAAATGTTCAATTAACTCTTTCTTTATTTGATACCGTTTCAGCTGGTAGCTGTTGGTTTTAGTGCAAGTTAGATAATTTCTACAATTATTTAAGTTTTGTGCCTCTTCGAGTACCAGGTAGGCATTATTCTCTTCAAATATTTAATTTATCAAAATAGAGGTACATCATTGAATTTTCTTTAATAAAATTCGATGTGTATTTTTTTTCAATAATAGTATATTATATACCTAGGTAGAGAAGTTGGTCCTTATATACCGAGCGCTTTTATAAACCGAGGCGCTCGCGCCGAGGTTTATAATGAGTGAGGTATATAATGACTTTCTCTACCGAGGAATATATAGAATTTTTTTTACTACTGCTAGTAGAAAATGAAAAATTTGTTTAAAATCTGTGCTCCAATTATTTTTTTTTGAACGCCCTCTTGAAAGTGCTGCCCTCTATCAACAGCTTATGATAACTTCCTATGTACCTACAGAAACCTGTATTTTTTTTCAAATTGACGTATGGAAATGAAATTGAACCAATAGAAACATGACAATATCCTTGCGTCATGACGTCATTTTCATTATTAACCTAGGTATTTTTTCATTATTTTCATTATTCACCTAGGGAGAGAAATTCAATTTTTTCCTAGAAAAATAGATTGAATAATGACAATTTCTCAGGTTAGTAGTAAAAAATAGTATATTATATACCTAGGTAGAGAAGTTGGTCATTATATACCGAAAGCTTTTATAAACCGAGGCGCGCAGCGCCGAGGTTTATAATGTTTGAGGTATATAATGACTTTCTCTACCGAGGAATATATAGAATTTTTTTTACTACCTACTGCTAGTAAAAAATAAAAAATTTGTTTAAAATCTGTGTTGTAATTATTTTTTGTGAACGCCCTCTTGAAAGTGCTGCCCTCTCAACAGCTTATATAACTTCCTATGTACCTACAGAAACCTGTATTTTTTTTCAAATTGACGTATGAAATTGAAATTGAACCAATAGAAACGTGACAATATCCTTGCGACATGACGTCATTTTCATTATTGACCTAGGTATTTTTTCATTATTTTCATTATTAACCTAGGGAGAGAAATTCAATTTTTTCTTAGAAAAATAGATTGAATAATGTCTATTTCTCAGGTTAGTAGTAAAAAAAATATATTACTATTGATGACTTTTGTAATTACAGTTGTTCGTGTCATTAAAAGAATAAATAGCGATCTGCACTCTGCCCAGTCCGTGTGTTTAATTTTGGCTAAACCCCCACCAAGTTATTTTGTTTCAACATTGACTCCCATTCTAAGATCACTTGCGGACACTTACTGCAGATGTGCCATATTTATAAATTGTCCTAAGTTGCAGGGAAAATGGAATTGGAAATTGAAAAAAAAATATCGTAAATATATAAACCTAGATAGGTATATGTATATACAATTATAACATAAAATATCGCGGTGCTTTCCAAAATTGAATAGGAATAATTATTATATAAAATAATAATCTATTATCACAATAAAATATGAATAAGAATTTGTGCTAGCTGAAAATGGCAACAATGCCTAAAATCTCGGAACCTGGTTGTGTTCGTCTAGAACGCCCACTTGAATCGTTTTATCTTTGTTAAGATAACCAGATAAAGAAGGATGCAAATATTGCCAGAGCAAGCCCGACCATAATCACGAATGCGCTCTAGTATTCATAGTAAGAAATGTCAAACAGGTTTTGTTTGTAATTGGCCCGCATTGTCCGCAATCTTATCCCCACTCCATGTAGTTCATTCATTAATCCACTATTGTCGTTTAGGATTGTTGGCCGCAGAAACCAAACGATTTTATGAATGACTTGCCCTCTCTATTTATGTAGTATTACTCTGAGGTGATTTCAATGATTTTATTCCAAAAAATTAAAGTTAAGAATCTAGCAGAAGTTTAACATGAAAGGAGACATTATTGTATAGTATAGTACGCACAACAATATACCAACAATATACCGTTGAATCTTACTGCAATAAATTAACACCCATTATCCTTTTGACCAAGTAATAAATCATAAAACCCCAAATTTAAACCTTTTTCGAGCAGAGCCGGATCCTCAGGTATTATCACAAATTCTATTTATAACAGGTAGGTATGTTACATACCTGATGACCTAGATTATTCTGAGATTTGAGAATATCTATGTCTATATTGCATAATACTTGTTATCGTTATTTTACCCTTACCTTAAACGAAAAATGTCCAATTATCTTAAATTATGAAAATAAATAATGTGGTTGGTTGGTATAAAGGTACCTAAATGTTTAAGCCGACCCTGATTCCATTTATTGAGCTTTGAAGAGGTTGGGGCCTATACAATAGGGTCTAATCCAGGTAGTTAATTTATTGCAGTAGGAGTCAACGGTATATTGTTGCGCGTATTATATCAATCTATTAGCCGGAAAAAAGTTGTTTAGTTGATTCCGTGAGCCACTACCCTTTCCATAAGAAAAAATCAACTTTTACGCATTTAAAAATGTCCAATGGCTGTAGAAGTTGCATTTTGTAATAATAAAAACAAATAATAGTTATTTGGGTCCAAAACCTACCAATTAATGTCACTCATGGCACGCTAGATCAAAAGTGTCAATTAGTAATTTCGCTTTCAGAAATGTCAAAAAATTATATCGATATACATTTTCATATTTAGAATGAAGAGGCGAATTTAAATATCTAAAAATATACTGGGTGTTTCATTTAAAATTTCAAAGTTAGGGTCGTTTCCGGAGAAACCGGAAGTATCAGAAAGATACTTATTATGTGAAACAATGCACACCAATGACTTATACCTTCTACCAAAATATGAGATGAAAATCTTAAAAAATAAAAAAGTTACAGGGACGAGCGTCATCTGAGAATCACCCGGTATACTGTAAGACAATGACAATGATGACAAGAACGCATCACCCCATAGAAGAAAATATTTGTTAACCAAATTCTGTGCTTGGGCCTTGGGCTATTGAAAGTAAAATTCAATTCAATAAGGAATATAAAAATAAAGTGAAATTTAATCAATAATTGTTATTTTTTACACCATATACCTACATAATAAAGAGAACTATCGGAATACCTATCGAATAAGTATTTTTAACATACACAGTGTGTAAAAAGTCCCGGACCAGTCAATTATTTTGAAAATAGTGCACAATATAAAAAAACTTCCTGTATAAAAGTTGAAGGTCTTGATAAAATCTATTGAAATAGGACTTATGTAATTATACAGGATGACCCAAAAAGTTGTGCTACACAAAACTTCATTTTTTTAAAATGGAATGATCCTTTTTTAATTACATTTTCTAATTCTTCTAGAGATTCTAAACAACAATTATGAAAGATATCATATGGCTAAACCCATTAGTTTCAGAAATAATTTGACTTAAAGGACATAAATACGATGAGTACGATATTACCTACATTTTGCATTGTTTCGAGTTGGTTCAAAATGGTAACCAGACCTAACGCCCCTTAATTATTTTCTTTGGGGACATCTGAAAAATAAAGTGTTTGTGACAAAACCTCCAGATCTGAACGAATTGAGAAGAAGAATTATTGAAGAATGTGCATCTATTAACTAAGAAATATTACAAAACGTCATCAATAAATTTTATTATAACCTAGCCCATTGTCAAATTGTGGGAGGAGGACATTTTCAGCATTTAATAAAATAACGTCTTACACTTAATTTTATTTCTGTTCTTTCAAAGTTATTGTTGATTTTACTTTACTGCTTGTATTTAATAATTTAGTAATTAATAAAATTTTGACTAAACTTGAGTGAGGTACATTTCATTTAACACAAGTTAAATGTTTTTTTTTTCAGGATTTAACGTGAAACATTTTGAAGCAACTCGAAACAATGCAAAATGTAGGTAATATCGTACTTATCGTATTTATGTCCTTCAACTCAAATTATTTCTGAAACTAATGGGTTTAGCCATATGACATGTTTCATAATTGTTGTTAAGAATCTCTAGGGGAATTAGAAAATGTAATTAAAAAAGGATCATTTCATTGAAAAAAATGAAGTTTTGTGTAGCACAACTTTTTGGGCCACCCTGTATAATTACAAAAGTCCTATTTCAATAGATTTTATTAAGACCTTCAACTTTTATACAGGAAGTTTTTTTATATTGTGCACCAGTTTCGAAATAATTTACTGTTCCGGGACTTTTTACACACTGTGTATATAAAAAGATGCAAGTTTTCAAAAAAAACTAATTACTAAATACAATAATATATTTTATCATTACCTGGTATGGCCACGACGAAGCTTTTAGTTCACAACCACTTCATTCCTGCACAATAATTTATTTTAGAAAATGCTCCAAAAATTTATCATAAAATGACACTAAAATAAAAATTGAAGAAAAAACAGAACGCGTCTATTAACTTTGCAATTCGAGAGAAGAGTGACGAAGCACTCGGACAGCAAAAACAGTCAGAAATGCGGGCAAAAGAAAAGAGAACGTGCAGCGTGCATCTGGTGAACATCTGCCATGTGCAAAGCTCTGGCTGGCGTCGGCGTCGTGTCGTTTAGTTTAGATACCTGCTGCGGGGGTTGGGGTTGGACACAAGCGAAGTAAATTTGTACTAGTAATTTTTGAAAGTTGTACTAAATAAACTCGGGTTGCTTCATTGAAATAATCATCGGTTGTACGATGTAGGTACATCCAATGACATACTGGCCCAAACATGTATCTCTAAAGCTGGATTTATAGTGTCAGTAACAGTAACAGTAACAGTAACTTAAAACTTAAGAACAGATATGAAATTATCCATTTCTTAAGTTTTACTGATAAGTTTGTTAAGTGAACTATAAATGGCTTTACGGTAGGCCGTGTTTTAATATTTTACTGTTACTGCTACTGTTACTGATACTGACACTATAAATCCCGCTTAAGTTGTTTTCTCGATAAAATTCCATCAAATCAGTCATAAATCGACCGAAAATATCAGCGTTTTTCACCAAAATCTGAGCGATTCAAATTTCAAATGACCGTTTTCTTCAAAATGCCAATTTTTCAATGAAAACTGGATTTGGATTTATGCCAAAATATATTTTTGTTTGCTTACTACCCAAACTTATCCATCTACCAAAAATTGAAATATACTCAAAACTATATTGTATCATTGCCTGGAGTGACCACACCAGAGCTCACAAACACTTCATCATTACTGCACAATTACTAGTAAATATGCTGATAAATTAGCAATTCAAGTCATAAAACAAAAACAATTCGGGAATAAGATCGATTATTCCACTCATGTGTTAGAAATCCCATAAGACAAGTGACGATTTCCAGAATCACAGCGAAAATTCTCTTTTCCATTTGTTTAACTAGAGAGAATTACAGCGATAATTCTCTCATGTTATTGTATACGTGGTTGTCATGTTAATTTTTGATACAAACAAACGGTTCCTGATAGCAACCATTTATTTGTATTGATTGTTAAGATGTTCAAATTGTTTAATACATATTTACTTCCATATTTTTTGCATTCTCATACGTGAAATAATCCTCTAAATACCACTCGAGCTTTAAAATGGACCAGATAATTTTTCACTCATGCGTGTTTTCTCTGCAAATTTCACTCGTCCTACGGACTCGTGAAATTATAGAAAACACGCAATCGTGAAAAATTATCGGTAATTTTGAAGCTCTCGTGGTATTATCCCCGAAAATTGCTTCAACGTCCTTGGTACCTACGCAATTCAAGTAGGTTTTTTTTTTGAAAATCGTTTATTGACAACAAGTATACAATTTATAAATTATATTAATAGCTCTATACCTAAAACAGTGTGGAACACTGGTATCAAGGTAACAAATTTTTTAAAAAAATTACAGTGATGTAGTGGAACTTACAATTCAATGATCTACAATCCGACAAATACAATCATTATTTATATGCCATAAGAAAGAAAGAAAAAAAAACAAAAACCCACCTAAAATCTAAGAATAAAAATAAAAATCTAGCCTTAACAAGTTTTGAAGTATACTCAGGTGGAAGCTACAATCCAATACTCAACTGTCAACTTTTGCATTGAATAATTATTATCTGCCAGATATAAATATAACTAAAATCTGTTTTTTTTTAAAGATAAAAGTCAAACTGACATTATGTTGGCAATACAATGTAAAATTGTCAATGCTTCAAATTTTTTATGTAGAAAAGGCTTGCGTTGCCAACATAGTTACTAAATTTTTGACTTGGGGAATTATCTTTAAAAAAAAACAGACTTTAATTATTATCTGCCAGATATAAATATAACTAATTATCAGCCAAAAACAGACTTAATGATTTTTTAAATATATTTAAGCTACTTGAATTTTTTATCTCACTTGGTAGTCTATTATCTGTTCTCGATGCCGAGTTAAGAGGACAGTTAAGCCCTATGTTTATCCTGGCGCTTGAAATATATTATACATAACCCTCTGATCTTGTGTTGTAGTTGTGAACCTCATCAACATGCGCGATTTCAAAATTACATTTCTGAAGATTTTTCAATATTTTATACATTAATTTACTCTGTTCCGACTTTAATATAATATGTATTCCATATACTCCAAGTTCCCTATATAATAATTCCGTATTATATAGAATATCATAATTAAATAAAACTTTTAACACTTTATTCTGTTTAATTTGAATTTCTCTGAGTGTTGTAGTACAACAAGTTCCCCAAATAGGTATTAAATATCTTATATGGGATAAGAAATAACTATTGTTAACATTTAATTTGGTCTTATTAGAAAGATAGTTTCGGCATCTATAGATGTATGGTATCATTGACGTTATTTTTAAAATTATGTTTTCTATATGTTTTGAAATAACGTGCTTGTATATTTGAAATTTTCAAGTTCAGGACATATATAGAGTATAAAAGTGGCCCCAGAACAGATCCCTGGGGTACACCATAACTGTTGGTCAAAGTATCACTAGAATACCCATTGGACACAACAAACTGTTCTCTATTTACTAAAAAAGTCTTTATAACATTGAGAAAATTACCACGAAATCCCAAATTGTTCAACTTATTTAGGAGTTTATCCAGCGAGACAACATCAAAAGCGTTCTTTAGGTCTACGAATACTGCTACAACAACATTTTTTTCATTTTTGATATATAATTTATAAAGTCAAAAGTTGCAGACAGTGTGTTGCTCTTTTCAATGAAACCATACCGGAACGGGTCTATCGCCAAGTTAGATTTAATGAAAAAAAACCATCCTTATTTTAACAATTTTTTCAATAATTTTAGAAAATATACTTAAAACTGAAATTGGTCTATAATTATTCATTTGATTTTTTTCACCACTCTTGAATATATGACTGATTTTACTTACTAACTTTCAGCTCAGGCGAGAATATACCACTCAGAAAAACTGTATTTATCAAATTTGTAAGAATCTCGAGAATATAATCTTTTAAATTATGTAAATCGATAGTAGTTACTCCATCAAAACCTGGAGCAGAATTTTTCCGAAGTTCCGATATAATTTCACTGACCTCAATCACATTAGTGGGGCTCAAACGATATACACTGTTATCATTATCATTTCCCACCTCATCAAGTACAACCTCACCATCTTCATACATATTAAATATTTCTTCATTTAGGTCCCTAACTATGTTCTCGCCTACCTTAGCAAAATGATAGTTTAGTTTATTTACTATTTTTTTACCATCTTCGGTTCGTTCACCTTCGATTAAAAGATATTTAATGTCATTGTTTACAGGTTGTTTACCAAAAAAATTGTTAATAAATTGCCATTGCTTTCTCACATTGCCACCTGCTTTATTCCACTCTGCACCAAAATATTGATTTTTTGCCGCTTTTATTTTGTTGTTTATCAGGTTCTTTAATTTTTTAAATTCTAAAAAAAACTGTTCATTTCCAGGCGAGTTTACCTTTCTTTTATAAATTTTATCGCGCTGTTGCATGAGTTCAATAATTTCCTGGTTAACCCAATTATTGTTTTCTCTTATTCTTATAGTTTTGGAATATTGAGCATCCTTTTTACACTGATTAATTAATTCAATTAAGTCCCTAAATGTTGCAATATCTACACAATCCTTTCTTGACCTAAATAAAGACGTACATTTTCTATGGTCAATGAAATTAATGGTTCTATTAATTAACGGGTTATGCATTTTTACAATATCACAGATTTGAAATGTGAGGCGATTATGATCAGAGTGAGTTACTTTCAACTTTAATATTCTTTATCAGGGTAGTATGGTAGCTAGATATGACATGATCAATTAAACTTGTGGACTTAGTAGTTACCCTAGTGGCATTTTCCAAGGAAATAGTATTATTTATTCTAAAATTATTTGACAATAACATATTTCTATATTCTCTTACAGTATTGGTATTATCTAGTAAGTTAATATTTATATCGCCAACCAAGATATGTTTTTTCTGATATTTCAAAAGAATAGTTTCAAGATCTGAGAAGAAGTCAATATTACCATATGATGGAGGCTTATATAAAACAGTCAATTTCAAGTCATTATCATTCAGACTAATGCACAGCCAATCAATTACCTGAGTAGTTTCGGAATTTCCCAATACTCCAAATTTCAGGGCCTCCCTCACATAGAAAGAGACTCCTCCTCCCCTGCCCTCTCTGCAACAGTGGACTGCATTGAACCCTGGGATGTCATAGAGTAGAGTTTCATTATTACTGAGCCAGGTTTCTGTTAGCGCCAGGACATCACATCTGCCATTGCTCACAAAACATTGTATTAGGTCTATCTTATTCCTAAGGCTTTGCACATTCATATGTATAACTTTTATTTTATTTAGATTATCTGCCCGTTATGCCTGCAAACCACGTATCTGGTCTTCATCTTCAAATACAATGACTTTCGAGTTTTCATCTTTGCGTAAGAGGATATTTCCACCACTAAGCCACAGATACTTGTAATTGTTATCATTCTTGAATATTCGTGCTGACATAAGCTTTAAATTAGTTTTTGTACATTAAAGAAATGGAAAGTGAAGGTGAAAGCGTGCACTCATGTACAGGGTGGTCCAAATTCGAGGCAGACTATTAGGATCTCGGAAACGGTAAGATATACAGGATCGGTCAAATTGTGGCAAAATGCCTAACAATTTTTTTCTGTGCCTATTTTAAGAGATACTTCAAAATAAAAAATACTATCTCATTGCGACATTTAAAACTCGACGTTTCGTCTTCTGGCAACCATTATCAACTTTTTTTTTTAAATATCGCTATACTCTCAATAGTATTACAAGAAAAATTAGGAAAGTTGTGGATTACAGTTTTACCCCTATTCTTAGGAACTTTATGTTTCTATTGTTAGTGGAGGAAGGCATATTAGGTGATGAAATAAAGTTAAGTCAAATACAAAGACACGGAATTTTTTGAAAAAATAGTTAGGTATTTCACTCCCAGTCTAATGGAAACAAAATAGAAAATGTACAACCTTTCGTACAATTATGTCTGGGTTAGTAATCCGATAATCCGACCCGACTTAAGGGTCTGGGTTGAGG